GTGGTAAGTTTCATTTTAAGTATGTCATATCACAAAAACTTTTTTTTTTTTTTTTTTGAGACCAGGTCTTGCTTTATACTGTAGGCTGGCCTTGAACTCACTTATGCAGTCCAGGCTAGCCTCAAACTCAAAACAATCATTTTGCCTGTGCCTCCCAAGTGCTGGAATTACAAGTGTACACAAGCGTAGCAAAACCTTTACTTTCTAAAAAAAAAAGTTTACTAGAGTGATGACACATGCCTATAATCCCAGCATTCGGGAGATTAAGGCAGGAAGATAGTTGAGAGTTTGAGACCAGCCTAGGCTACAAAGTGAGTTCAAGGCCAGCCTGAACTATACAGTAAAACCTTGTCTCAAAAAGAAAAAAAAAAAAAAAAAAAAAAAATTTCACCAGTTCACATCCTAAATGAAGACAGTGCCAGTTTTAACAATAAGTTGGTCTCAAATGTTACCTAGATCTATACAATCTAATTGGAGGCACCCTGGGCATGGTAGTGCATATACGTAATCCCAGAACTGGGGAGGCTGAGGCAGGAGAATCATCTTGAGTTCAAAACCAGCTTAGGCTACATAGTGAATTAAAGGCCAGCCCATACTACAAAGCAAGACCTTGTCATAAAATAAATAAATAGGGGCTGGAGAGATGGCTCAGTGGTCTAAAGCACCTACTTGAAACAAGCTTGGCAATGCACAGGGACCGCGGTTCAATCCCCCAGCACCACATGCCAGCCAGCCCCGCCCCCTGGTGGGCTGAGCTGGCCACACACACACACACACACACACACACAAATAAATAAATAAATGTTTAAAAATAAATAAATAAATAAATACATACATACATACATACACTGGGGCAACTGTTGGAATAAAATTATTTCATGAAATTGTACCATAACTTCCTATTAGTGTGACTACAATTTGGGTAACTAGCCCATATATGTCACCATGCTATATAGAATAAATCAAAACTATGTCTGAGTTGGAAACTTCTAAATATAAAGGTGAGTCTCACAACACAAAGATTAGTTTTAAGCAAGAGCTCAATGATAACCCTCAATATTTGATGTCTGTAAATTGCCACATCTAAGATCTTAGCTTTGAACTTGATCCTTTCCCTCTAATTTCTTCAGAGAAATCCCTCTCAACAAACATTTAGTGGGCACTCACTCTAGAAACCACTGCAGCAAAATAAAACCTATACTTGGACCTGACCACACAGTAGGACATTTTAGGAAAGAGACACTCCTAAACACCATAAGGGACATTTGTACCTCTGTAGATTTTTTTGTAATTACCAGTTTTCTCTTGAGGATCACTCACTCATTATATTCTCCAACATAGAGTAAGAACCATATATCACTATTTTTAGCAGCCCTCACTTCAAAACCGGTTTGCAAACAGTTGTGTATGTGATTAACAGCTCGGTAAATCTGTGGGTTCCCACAGTGCACAGGCAGTCATTGCAGTCCAAACACAGAAAGCATCAAGCTAATATAACTTCCAACGTGCCATGAGAAAAAAGCTACAGGGAGAAAAGGAAGATTTAAAAAAAAAAAAAAAAAAAAGCCCACTCTATACCTACCTATGAATGTGGTTTGCAAACTGTAAAATAGACACAATTCAATTGCATATATGTGGGGAATCTAAAATAAGAAAAAAAGCAGTCATGCTTTTCCATAATCACAGAGTGAATCTAGTGAGACCCTATCTCAAAAATTTAAAAAAAAAAAGTGAATCAATTTTAATGTCACATAAACTAACCTGGAACTGCTAAACCCAAGGTCTGACCAGGTCATTGTCCTTTAAGGAATCCCATTTTCAAAAAGGAAGTCCCCCATAAAAATAAAACCCCACCTGTCTGTGCAAGAGGAATCACAGGCTCAGGGGTAAACAAAGTTCATTCGGATGAATCAAGCTTTCAGACTGGTTTTCAAAGAGAATGTACAATGGGAGTAGGCCAAAAAGAATCATTTCATTCAGCCAACACAAAGGATCCCAGAGACTGCAGTAGTCTCCAAGGCTAAGGGTCTTCGAGTCTATGGTCTGCTTACAAAAACTGTGGTTTTTTGTTATGCAGAATGTAAGTCAAGTAAGCATCTGGCCTAGATAAAAATGTAAGCAAGCATTTTTTTAGCCAAAAGTCCACTATCAGCAACTCATTCACATTTCAAAATCTTTCTTAATTCTCTTCCTTTATTACAAAGTGTGTAAGTGTATAGGAGACTGAAATATTATAAAATAATCAGATTAACAATGTATGGTGGGGCTGGTGAGATGGCTCAATGGTCTAAAGCACCTACTTAGAACAAGCTAAGCTCAAGCAAAGCACAGAGACCTCGGTTCAATCCCCCAGCACCACATGCCGGCCTGCTCGCCCCCTGGTGGGCTGAGCTGGCCACACAATAAATAAATAAATAAATAAATAAATAAATATTAAAAAAAAAAAAGCAAAACTTTAAAAAAAAAAAAAACAATGTATGGTAAGGGGCTGAGCAGATGGCTCAGTAGGATAAGCACTTGACTGGCAAACGCAAGGATCTGAGTTCAATCCCTGGTTCCGCAAAAAAAAAAAAAAAAAAAGTATGGTAAATTAAAATAATCTCAAACTTCTTTGTGTGTGTGTGTGTGTGTGTGTGTGTGTGTGTGTTTTGTTTTACTTTGTGAGGTTTTGCTATGTAGTTCAGGCTATGCTTCAACTCACTATGAAACTCGGGCTGGCCTTAAACTCATGGCAGTCTTGCCTCAGCCTCCTGAATGCTAGTGTTACAGGTGTGTGCCACCAAGCCTGGCTTTTTTGGATTTTTTTAAAACCCTGGATGGTACAATCAATGCCTCTTACAAAGACCATACGAGAGGAGGAAGTAGTGCTGGCAGTTGTGGCACACATATATAATCCCAGCACGAGGCTGAGGCAGGAGGATCACTGCAAGTTCAAGGCCTGCCTGAATCACACAGTGAGACAGTCTCAAAAAAAAAAAAAAAAAAAAAAAAGAGGAGAGAAAATAGTAACATTTTAATTTTTAAATATTTTATAGTAGTAGGAATTAAAACCAGTGTGTTTGCACTGAGCTACATCCCCAGGCTTTTTAAAATTTTTATTTTCAGACAAGGCCTCAACAAGTTAACTTTTGATCCTACTTCAGCTTCCTCAAGGGCTGGGATTGCAGCCCTCAAACAAGCTGGGATGTAAAACTCAATTTTGTTAATTTCAACTGCATCAGGAACAACCCTTATGAAAGGAAAGAAGTAAGAAAGACAATCAGCAACTAAACTTCCTTCCAGTTACCTAAGCATGGAACCATCCCCATTATGTCAGGCTTAGCCTCCAGGGTACAAGTCAAGGAGCTGGTTAGCTGAATGCAAGAAAGCCTCTCCCCTGGTTTCTCCAGTCACCAATGTTGACTCAACTACTTCCCTATGTCCCCTCTCTTTCCCTGAGATCATCATTATCTGCCCACCACTTTACTGCACCAAATCCCATTCTCTGTAATTTTTTTTTATCAGCAATTCTATGTACTTGCACAATCAGTATAGGTCAAGACTGAACAGAATCTGAAGGTCATATCTCCCTACCTCCATTTGATTCTTGGCAGAATGTTTTCGCTTTTATCTTCAATTATTTTCCCAAGCCTTGGTCCTAATATTAAAGTTTCCCCCTCCTCAATCTATTTCTAGCAGTTTCTCCTAATGCAACTGCTAAATGTATACTGCATCTTTACATGCTACTGTCTCCATTTCAGTGTAATTGGTTTTGAGACAGGATCTCACTGTGCAGTTCAGGTTGGTCTTGCACTCAAGATGTAGTTCACGCTGCCTTGAACTCCACACCAAGTTCAATATTGCTTTTGTTTCTTCCAACTAAGATCTATACCCCAGACATAAATTCCATTTTTCCAGCTGTTTCTTTGTACCACCAAACCATAGAATCATTACATTTTATGTGTAGGGGTAAAAAAACTCAGAAGGTTGGGTGTGATGGCACATTTCTATAACCCCAGCATCTGGGAGTCTGATCCAGAGGATCCCTGTGAGTTGGAAGCCAGCTTGGGCTACAAAGTGAGTTCAAGGCCAGCCTGAACTGCATATCAAGACTCCTTAGAAATAATTCAATCAAATGTTTCTCAGGCTTTCTTTTTTTTTTTTAAATACATTTAACTTTATACATTTTAAGATGTACAAAACCCAATGGAATGCATGCCTGTAATACCAGCACTCAAGAGACTGAGGCAGGAGAACCTGCACGAGTTCCAGGCCAGCCTGGACTACAGAGTGAACACAAGGAGACTGTCTAAAAAACAAACAACAGCAGCAACAACAACAACAACAAAACAAAAACAAAAACCAACTCAGGCTGGGAAAATAGCTCAGTAGTCTAAGTGCCAGCCTGGCAAGCACAAGGAGCCAAGTTCAATCCCTGGTACCCCATGCCGTGCCCCGAAACCCCATGCGCGGGCCACAGAAACTAGACATAGTGGCACACACCTGTAATCCCAGCACTGGGGAGGATGAGACAGGAGGATCACTACGAGTTCGAGCTGCACAGTGAGACTCTATGCCAAATAAAAATTTTTTAAGTTAAAAAACAACAACAACACTGCAACATTTCATGAAAGGGTATACGATCCTATTCTATCTTTACATTAAAAAAAACACACACAACTCTTAAGCACCATCCATAAAATTGATTTCATCACCCAATAATAAGGCTAGAACTCATAGTCTAGGAGACGTTAATCCAAACTTAGCATCCTGCTGTAACTCAGTGTGAAGGTTAAGGGTCCGGCCTCAGGAAGTCATCCACAGCGCTATAGTCCGCTCTGCCTGCTAAGCCCGCAAAGCCCTTCGGCTGCCCGCTCCCGGCCGCTCGGCCCCACGCCGCGCCCACACAGCCCCGCACCACCCGGTTACGGATCTCACGCTCTCCTCCACGCCAGCCCCTCTCGGGTCTGCGTTCCCTCGCAGGCGCTGTCCCATGTTCCCCTCGGTCAAAGTCCCCTTACAGTCCCATCCATTGATCAGTCTCCTTGAGTCATTGCCCCGTGGTCACGGTCCCCTTGAAGCCACTGCCTCGGGCATGGTCCCGTCGCAGCCTCTGCCTCGTGCTCCCCCGCACCCGAGTCCTCCGCACCCCCCAGCTCCAGGGCTGCAGACCCCTCGCGAGCTATCCCTTGGTCACAGTCCCCTCGCTGTCACTGTCCCTAGGTCACAGTAGCCTTTTAGCCCGCGCTTCACACTCCTCTTGCTGTCACTTCGCCGCCCCAACCCCACGGCTCCTCCCCTCCGACAGGGGCGCAAGCATATGCACACATCGGATCCTCACCGGCAGTTCACGGTCCCCGGGGCCTGTCCCCTAGGATCTCTTCCCGGCGCCGCGTCAGGGACTAGGAAAGTTGAGGAGGTTGCGGGGAGACGCCCGGAGAAGGCAGCTGACGGAACAGCGGCCGGAAGTTCCACCCACTGCCCGCCCCCCTGTCAATCCGACCGCGACTTCTCCCCGGAAACCGCTGTCCACCACACAGTAGTTCCGCTTCCCCAGCAGCCGGAGGAGTGTGTAAGGGACCGAGCGGAAGCCGGAGACCAGCGGGGGACGGCAGAGGGTCCGTGTCCTCCCGGGGCAGAAGCCAGAGCCGGAGCTGGCAGTGAAGACGCTTCCTCCTCGCGGGATGCCGACGTGAACTGCCGGCGTTCTCGCTGCGGACCGCCAAGCCGCGACTTCTACCTCCTTGGTTATGGAGAGTTCACCAGCTCCGGTGAAACTGCCTGACCTCTTTCTTCTCCCCACCTCTCTTTGGTACTGAAGATTGAAGCCTGGGCCTTCGCACTGAGCTACATCCTCAGCCCCTTTTCATTGATCACTTTTTTTTATTTTGAGACAGTCTCACTAAATCTCCAGATTGCCCAGGCTGGGGGAGGGGTGGTATGTGTGGTTCTTCTGCCTCAGCCAACCTAAATTCTGAGATTACAGGCGTCTGTGTATTGCTGGGAATTGAACCCAGGTCCTCCGGTGTGCCAGGCAAACGCTGTATCACTAAGGTATATCATCCGCCCTTTAAAAATTATTTTTATTTTGAGGAGGGTCTCTGTGAATTCTCCAGGCTGACCTAAAGCTTGGGATCCTTCTGCCTCACTCTCCCATAGTAAGGTTTACAGGGTGTACCTTGCTGCCTGGCTGTATCCTGTTCTTTGCACTGGGTTAGCGCACCAAAAAAGGACTTGCAAGAAAATGAACCTCTGTAAGGCAAGTGGGTACAGAATGTTAGGAAACAAGCCAGAGGTGGTGGCCCATTCCTGTAATTCCAGCATTGGAAAGGCTGAGGCAGGAGGATCACAAAGTGAATTCAAGGCCAGCCTGAAATGCATAGTGAAACTGTCTCAAAAACACAAACAATGTTACGAAATATGGAAAATCTTTCAGTGTATTTGCTATCTTTTTAAATTTTTACTTACTGATTTATTTAGGTCTACACAGTTGACTAGAAGGGCCAAGAAAAAGAGGAGCGCACTGCCGAGGTGCACCCAGGAAAAAAAAGGATGAAAATCTGACCCTTTTTAAGTTTCAAGTCTGGAATTGAACATGGCTGTTAGGGTGCCCCAGAGAAGAACAGGCAGCTGGAGAAAGCACCAGGACCTCTAGGGGCCACTGCAAAGAGCGGAGGGCTTTGGAGAGTGAGCAACAAAGGGATCTTGGAGAGTTGAAGGGAATCTGATTTCATGTATAGCTTGGAACTTCTCAGATGTTATACTTGGACAAGTCCTGGAGAAACGGATGTGTGTCTAAGGTCATAAATATGTAAGTCAAAGATGACGGACTTTATGCACAGATAGGCTCATCTGTATTTTGGGAGTAGTGAAAGATTAGAATTGGTCGCTCCATAAGGAAACAGCAGTAGCAACAGTGGTGGAACCTGATGCAACAAAAGCAGCTGTTTAAGGATTAGCCTGAAAGTTATAATGCACATAAAATGATATAACTTGTGACATTATAACAAGTAAAAAAAAAATCAGGGTACAACATTGTACATGTGATTTTTTTTTTAATGTATTTAGTACAGGGTCTCACTACACAGACTGGACTTATTTTCAGCCTCCCAAGCGCTAGGATTAGAGGCACACCACTACGCCCTGTCTCAAGTGCTATCTCAGCGTTCCTCGGGGGCGGGGCCGGCACGGCACACTGGGGATTGAACCCTGTCTGCCTAAACAGGCGCTTTAATCTGCTGAGCTATCTGGCTAGTAGCCTTTATGTACAATTTTTTTAAAAAAAATATTTGATATAAGGTCTTGCTATGCAGCTCAGACTCAGTGTTCCTCCTGTCTCAGCCTTCCCAGCACTGGGATTACAGGTGTGCACCACCACACCCAGTTTCAGGGCCTGCTGAATGCATCCTGGGCTCCAGGGCCAGCATGGCATGCAGTACTGGGAATCAAACCCGGGTCCTTAACGCTTGCCAGGCAGGTGCTTAGACTGCCAGCTATCTCCCCAGCCCAACATTGTAAATATGATTATTAACCCCTGCAAATGATAGGAAATATGCCAAAATATTTTGTTGTTTATGCTTTAAAATTGAAAGGATTATCCCCCATTTCCTGTACTTTCCAAATAGACTTTTTGTTGTTTTTTTGAGATAGGGCCTCATTATGCACAATTTAGGCTGGCCTTGAACTCACTATGTAGCCCAGGCTGGCCTAAAATTTGTGGCAATCCTCCTGCCTCAGCCTCCCAAATGCTGGGATTATAGATGTGTGCCAGGATGCCCACTATAATAACATTGTAACAGAATCAAAACACTAAAAATATAAAGCCTAAAACAACAGGCTCAGTTGCTAAACTGCCAACACTTTTATTTCATTAAGATATTAAACAGTATTTAAAAGTTCAGATTTCTTCATGGTAATATCTGTTCACAGGTTTTTTAGATTCAGTAGTAGAAACAACCAAATGCTGCTACCACACAGAATAAACTGTCCTAAAAAACAAGACAGAAAAGACGAGAAAATCCAGAATGTTAGTACTAATGAGAGAATAAGGACAACATAGGCAATTAAAATTGATACCATCCCAGACTCCCTGGTCAGTTTCCAGTCAGGAAGACTTCTAAAACCTGATGTGGCTGATACACGCCTGTAATCCCAGCACCTAGGAGGCTGAGGCAGGAGGGTCACTGAGTTCAAGGCCAGCCTGCAGTATAGGCAAGAACCTATCTCAGACCAAAAAAAAAAAAAAAAAAAAAAAAAAAAAAAAAAACAACTTTTTTAAGAAATAAAGGACTCAGGACATATGAGAACTTGTACTGTAACGTCATGTACCTCGGTAGTGTCCCAAATTTTCTGATCAAGAAGATTATGGGGCCAAAGAGGAAAGTGATCGATGACATTGAGTGGGCCTAAGGAGAGTCACATGGGGAGAAGATACTCTCTCAGGCTTTCACAGAGAGTACATTGGCCAAGCATTGGCCGTGACTCATCCACATGGCTGCACTGATAAAGGTTCTACAATCTGAGGTACGGGATCTCAGGACAAATCCTGAGGGCATTTCACTGACCTTCTCAGACCAAAAAGCTACAACTCTTGTTGCATAGGTCCTGCTTTACCTTGGTCTTAACCATCCAGAAGAAAAGTATGAAGACGAAATTATAAGAAATAAAGCCATGCTGTTAAGTTGAGCTGTGGGGGACTCAGGTCAATAATTTCTGACATTGCCAGTTAAACAGAAGACCCAATGCTATTATGGGCTACTGGACTCTTTTAGAATATTTTGCTGAGTTTACACACCTATAATATTCAATAACGGAACTTAGAAAAAATGGGGTATACAGATGAATGTCCATTTTGTATCTGTGTATTCAAAGTGGTTGGGATAGATATATAGTTCCATTCTGTTAATGAATAGAATGATTTGTTCTAATGGTGTTTGTAAATAGGATCACAAGTCCGCATCTTGTACAGCAATTAACCACTAAGAAGAATATATGCAGTGTATTATTTGTTGAAAAATAAAAAAATAAAAAAAATTATAAAAAAAATAAAATAAAATAAAATTCACTGTTCTCACAAAAAAAAAAAAAAAAAAAAAAAGAAATAAAGGGCTAGGCTAGGCATGGCGGCACACACCTCTAGTCCCAGCATTTGGGAGGTAGAGGCAAGAGGATCCTTATGAGTTGGCGAGTGGCCTGGGCTACAAAGTGAGTTTAAGGCCAGCCTAAACTGCATAGTGAGACCCTGTCTCAGACAAAAAATAGGGGCCAGTGAGATAGCTCAGCAGACTAAGCGCCTGCTTTAGCAAGCACAGAGGCCAGGATTAAATCCCCAGTCCCGCATGCCACACTGGCCCCACCCTTGGGGCACACTGAGCCTGGGAGGAGTCCCCGGTATGGTGGTGTACACCTGTAATCCCAGCGCTGGGGAGGCTGAAAACAGGAGGATCAGTAAGAGTTTGAATTATGTAGTGAGACCCTGTACCAACAAATTTTTTTAAAAAGACAAAAAGGGTTACCGGGTTTCCACAGCATAGCTATAAGGTTGTTTTCGTGAGTAGCCACAAAATTGCTTGCGAACTGGAGGCTGGGGGTCAGGCCTTATACAATACTTATACAATTATTCCAGCACTCTGGGGAGGCTGGAGCAGAAGAACTGTAGATTGCAGCCCTGTCTGGCAACTCTGCAGCTTATGAAACCCTGTTTTACAATAACGGGCTGGGGATGTAGCTCGGTGCAAAGATACTGGGCTACATAATCAAGTTCAAGGCCAGCCTAAACTACATGGAGCAACCCTGTCTCAAAACAACAAAACAAAAATACATATTTTTTTCTGAGTGGATAAATCTGAGCTAATAAATGAGTTTATGCATATTCATAAAATATTCTCATTTTTCCTGATTTATCTGAAATACTCTATGAAGTGCTTTGAGGTTCTTAACAGTCGATGTCTTACCCAACTCAAGAAGGTATAGTAGAATATCACAGATATAGTTACAGCACTTTATCCTAAGTGATGGATACAGGCGATGGTTTCTGGGTGTTTCTTCTTTGGTAAGATTGATTGGTCCATCTGTTAGCTTAGAATCTCAGAATGCTTGCCAGAGCCCAGGGAAGCTGTTCCAACCCTGCGAGTCCTTATTACAGGTGTCCACAGCACCTGAGGCCACAAGCTCCCTTCCTGCTTGGTGCTGCTGGGGGGAAGTGATGGAACTCATGCGCCTGCTGATGACCCAAAGGCAAAGTCCCTGGGTCAGCCTAGGTCCTGTGGTCTACAGCAGTACTACCTGTGTCAAAGAACCTGTTTTTGTTTAATTGCTAGTCCTTCATGGACTGACACTTTTGTAAAAACTTAGCAATCCAGGGCAGAGGATTGCTCAGCAGCACAGCACAGCACCTGCTTGGCAAGCACAAGTCCCTGAGTTTGATTCCTGGCACCAAAAAGGAAAAAAAAAAAAAAAAAACAGCAACTTGGCAATCAGCAACATCATTTGGGGATTTGTTTGTTTGAGACGGTCTCATTATGCAGTTGAGGCTAGACTTAAACTCACTATGTAGGGTCAGCCCAGGCTGACAAACTCTGGTGATCCTACCTCAGCCCCCCTCCCTTTTTTTTAAGGCAAGGTCGCACTGTATAGTGCAAGCTGACCTTGAACTCACTTATATAGCCCAGGCTGGCCTCAAACTCATGACAATCTTCCTGCCTTAGCCTCCCAAGTGCTGGGATTACAGGAGTGTGCCACCACCCTCAGCCTATTTGGGGAACTTTTTAAAAATTCACATTCACTGAGCTAGCCTCTGGCTTTTTAAATGAGGCACCTGGCATCTGTATTTTAAATAAGCTACCCACATTATTCTTAGGCAATGACAGCCAGTCTTTGGGAAAATCTGTTTCTTGATAGAGTCTCAGAAAAACCCAGTAACTCACCTAAGTTATACAATTATAGCTGCCCCATTCCAGGGGCAGCTGGAAATGAAGCCCCTCTCCTCCTCAGCTGAGCTGCTCTTCCAGTGTACCCTGACTCCTGATTCATGGGTGTGTGACTAGAGGGTGGGATTATTTCTGGAGTCAAGGGTAAGACAACAGCATATAATTAAAACATGACAACTTACCAACAGTTAATTTTTTTTTTTTTTTTTTTTTTTTTTTTGAGATTGGGTCTCACAATGTAACCCAGGCTGGCCTCAAACTCCCAGCAATCCTCTCCCTTGGACCAGGGAGATGGCTCAGTGGAATAAGCGCTTCCCTGGCAAGGGCAAGGACCTGAGTTCAATTCCCGGTTCTGCCAAAAAAAAAAAAAAATCCTCCTCCTTGACCTTCCAAGTGCTGGGCCTACACCCTTCTGTGTGGTTTTAAAATAATTTTAATAATAATATGCCAGGTAAATAATAGGCTATGCCCAAATTCAAACCTTTAAAGAGTTATGTTATCTGTACACAGAGTCTCCTTGCATAAGGGGGCACTAGGTCTCTGCTTTAGTAACACAAGAACAGTAAAACCACAGCATCTAGAAGTCTAAGACGAATGCCTGAAACTAGACTCCACACATATTAATAAACACTGAGTAATCTGATTCACGATGCCCGCTTCCCTGGACAGGAAAGGTTTCCAGGTGGACTTACGTTCATGAACACATCGTGAGTGTAGTTGTCAGTGTCTGCGTCCCAGAAGCATCTCGCGGCCATGCTAGAGAGGCACAGAAAGGACAGTTGTCAACAATACCACAAGGATCTGCACCACACGTACATGCCTTCATGCGCTCCATAGCTTAGCGCTTCTAACCTCTTCACAGGCCAGGCTGGCACCCAGAGAAAGCCCTATCTGTACAGCAGAATATGCTGGGTAGCCTGGAAGGTCAGGAGTCACAAGCCAGAGGTGGCCAGCCAGGGACTTGGGCAGTCTCAGACTCTGACGGGCTGAGGACCAGAAGCCCACATCTTGAAGTCTGCTCCTCTTAGCAGAGCCCTACCATAGATAACTTGAGCTAAGACACCAAGCATGATCTAAAAATCACATGAACATTTTTTAAATGTTTAAAGTTTTTATTATGGTAAAAGACACATTACCATGAATATCCCTCAAAAAACTCCCTCTCACTTAAAACATACTCATCCCCATTCTTGCCACTTTTTGAAGTCCTTTTTTTGTGAGTGTTGCTTTGTTTTGTTTTGTTTTTTGAGACAGGGTCTCGCTGTGCAGTTCAGACTGGTCTTAAATTAAGCTCACTCTGTAGCGCAGGTCAGCCTTGAACTCTTGGCGATCCTCCTGCCTCAGCCTCCTGAGCGCTGGGATGACAGTCCTCATAGCTGCCTTGATGTCCTGAATCTGTTGGAAATGGTGACCTTTCGTGGGCCTTTTGACTTTGGGAAAGAGCCAGAAGTCACACAGTGCCATGTCTGGTGAATAAGGGGGATAAGGACACACTGATGTTGTAAGAGCCCACCTTTCCACTGAGGGGCACTCATGAGCAGCATCCCCTGTGGTTGTGGTCATACTTCATAAAGACAATTAGGAAAGACTTCCAGAACTGCTTCAGAAAGTGGCAAGAATGATGAAATAAATGTGCCTGAAGTGAGGGGGAACAGTTTGAAGGGGACTAACAGCAATGTGTCTTTTTAAAAAATACTTTTATTTTTCAATTTTTCTACTTTATTGTTTTGTGGCCAGTTCAGCCGACTCCGGGGGTGGGGCTGGTGCAGCATGTGGTGCTGGAGATCAAACTGTGGTCCCTGAATGCTTGCACTAATCTTGCCTGAGAAGGCGCTTTAGACCGCTGAGCTATCTCCCTGGTGCACCAATGTATCTTTTACTATAATAAACTTTTAAAAATTAAACCTTCACTGTATATCATTCTCACACTTCCTAGTTATGTGTGACTTTTTGTGGGTGCGATTCCTGCATGACAGGAGAAAGAAAATGTTCATAGGGCCCAACACATTCCGTCCAACTCGGTCATTTCATAGAGCCCAGAAATGCAGGGTTAGCCTGTCTCCACAGGACACTATCAAAGCTGTCTTTTGCTTTTAACACAGGGTCTCACTATGTAGTTCATGCTGGCCTTGAACTCACAGCCTGCCCCAAACCTCCCAAGTGCTGGGATTAGAGGTGTGCACACCCAAACCCAGCTTCTACACTCTGTGTACATTCCCAAATTGGTTAATTTTACTGTCCTCACATCTTAGGTAAGAAGAAAAATATTAGGCAAAAATAAAAGCCAATTAAAAAACTGCAAACCATGCCCAATTATGTTGGATTGATAAATGAAATTATGGCATTTGAGAAGGTCACTGCAGATGTTTTACATTTTTCCTAGTGCATATCTACAATTCATTAATATCTGCTGAATGCTCTGTACCAATCACTGGTAAGCGCTTTCCTGTATTCGCTTAATCCCAAGAGGTGCGTTGTTGCTGTCATACCCACTCAGTAAAGGTGTGGAAATGGAGCAGCAGTGTCATACTAGAAGTGACAAAACTGCCTTTGAACCCAGACAATTAAAAAAATTATATATATATATATATATATATATATATATATATATATATGTTCTCTTCTTTCTTTAATTAAGAGAAATATTGCTTTTATTGAAAGGCTGGCCCTAAACTCCTAAGCTCAAGCAATCTTCCTGCCTCAGCCTCCAAAATAGCTGGGACTACATAGACATGTGCCATCACATCCAGCTTCTTTTATTTTTTTTAATGTATTTAGTCCAGGGTCTACAGTGTCTCACTACACAGATTGGACTCACAGTAATTGTCCCATTTTCAGCCTCCCAAGCACTGGGATTACAGATGTGCGCCACCATGCCCAGTCTCAGTCTTCATCTCAGTGCATCCTGGGGATGGGGCCAGCATGGCACACCGGGGATGACCCCCCATCGCTGCCTCCACCTAAGCAGATACTTTAAACACACCCAGCTTCTTATATCCCTGACTCAAAAATGTACTGACAGTGTGGCATAAGCAACCTATTAGCCACTCCAGGCACTTTTCAGCTGGAGGGGCAGCTATGTGCGACATGCTTGCCTAGCAGGTCCCAGGCCTTGTTCAGACCCTGCCCTGGCCCCTTCAAGCATCCATATGGCAGCTCCACATGTCCCGGTGGACAGAGACCAGCCACGCACCTCAAAGCCCAATTCAGTTAAGTGAAAAAACGAATACACTGCAAAAGAATAAAAGAATGTTCCTGGTTCCGCAAAAAAAAAAAAAGAATGTATACTTCATACTCATTTATAATTTACTAGGATTAAAAGATTGTAAGGCCTATCAAGTCTAAGCCTTCAGTTTATGCAATATTTAAAATTTGTAAGACTACAAATTTAAAATTTGTAAGACTACAAAAGTTTAGAGAACTTTATGAAAAAGCCAGACATGGTAACACACACCTGTAATCCCAGTACTCAGGAGGCTGAGGCAGGAGGATCATTGTGAGTTCAAGACCAGCCTGGGTTACAAAGTGAGCTCAAGGCCAGCCTGAACTGCACAGTGAGACCCTGTCTCAAAAAGCAAAAAAAAAAAAAAAAAATGAAGCGTGGCAGTGGGAAGTGAAGTTAAGGACTGAGCAAAATCATGAATATAAAAATTTATTTTATTTTTTTTAATTTTTATTTTATTTGTGTGTGTGTGTGTGTGTGTGTGTGTGTGTGTGTGTGGCCAGCTCAGCCCACCAGGAGGCGGGGCTGGCTGGCATGTGGTGCTGGGGGATTGAACCTGGTCCCTTGTGCTTTGCTAAGCTTGTTCTAAGTAGGTGCTTTAGACCACTGAGCCATCTCCCCAGCCCTAAAAATTTATTTAACAAATAGTATTGCAAAAAAAATACATATATAAAACACAATCTTTGCCTTCAAAGTGTGGTGCTGAATTCTGAGACTGTAAGCAGACAGCTAAAAAGCTAAGTGTAGGGGCTGGGGATACAGCTCAACTACATAGCACCTGACTGGCAAACACCAAGGTCCTGAGTTCGATTCCCAGTACCAAAAAATAAAGCTAAGTATGAGAGGCAAACTATTTCCAAATCCATGTCTATGTCCTTGTACCCAGAACCTGTAAATGTGGCATATTATGTGGCAAACAGAGGCTACAGATCTTCGAGTGAGTTAAAGATTCTGAGGTAGGCGACTTAGGGATTGATTATCCAGATGGCCCAACACAAGCCCGAGCCCTTCCCTAAGAATGAGGCCCGGGCCGGCATGGTGGTGGGCAGCTCACCTCGCGTGCAGGAGGCCCCACGCACTGCCCAGCACTGCCGAAAGCAAGGACTAGAACAAAGTGTGTCTTTGCAGGAAGCACAGGCACTGGAAGCTAAGCCAGCACTACCATAGAGATACAATCTGCAGATGCCGGAACACAGGGAACTCCAGGGCCAGCAGCCCAGTTTCCTTGCCAGATAAGTAACAAGGGGGAGACAGAGAGAGAGAGGAGGGAGCACACTACAGGCTAGGAAAGGAGATCAGCAGCTCGAAAACACACTTAGCCGAAATCAGAGCCAGAACACAGGGAGGAGTCCTAAGAAAGAGAAGCCAAGAACAAAAGCTAAGAGAGGGCAATTAGCTTTGCCCATAGGTCTCAATTTTGAAGAAATTAAGAGAATAAGAAAACCCAAGAGCTGGGCATCAAGGACTGTGAGAGGACATGCAGTATGTTGTCCCCTACCACACAGAAACATGTCCCAGCTGGGAGTGGTGACGCACACCTACAATCCCAGAGCCCTCGGGAGGTCGAGGCAGGAGGATTGAAGCAAGTTTAAGGCCAGCCTGGGCTGCATGGCAAGAACCTGTCCACACACACACACACACACACACACACACACACACACAATTTAAAAAAAAAAAAAAAGAAAAGAAACCTATACACCCAGGCCTTAAGGGTTGACTGGCCTATTGGACATGAAGAGCGAGCTATCCCTGGGAGCTGCCCTACCCCGAGGCAGCTTGGCCTCTCAGTACCAGACCGCCTTAGTTCACAGCTGCATTTTGCCCAAATGTTGTTCTGCTTGTTCTTGCAAAGGCTCAGTCTTTTTTTTTTATAATTATGTATTTATTTTTATGTATTTAGTACAGGGTCTACAGGGTCTCACTACGTAGCTGGGACTCATAATGATCCTCCTATTTTCGGCCTCCCAAGTGCTGGGATTACAGGCATGTGCCACCACGCCCAGTCTCAATCCCAGTCTCAACGCACCCCGGGGGCATGGCCAGCACAGCATGTGGTGCCAGGATTGAACCCTGTCCCTGCATCTGCCCAGGCAGGCACTTTAATCCACTGAGCTATCTGGCTGTCCCTGGCAGTCTTACCAAGTGGTCAAGACAACAAATACCACACAGATGAATAATAACAAGGAGAAACAAGCTACTCACAAAACTCCTTCGCCTCTCTGTTCTCCAATCACTACCTGTACCACCATCTTATATCGGTCAAATCCCATTTCTAGAAAGAAAAACAAGAAAGTTTTCTGTAAGTAAATATGTAGCGAAGCTTCTTAACTTATTGAAGGTAAATTTGTCTACAACAGGTATTTAAAAGGTGTGATCTAAAACTACTGTAAATGTTCAATTTTTATATATTTATTTTTGGCTTTTTGAGGCAAGGTCTTGCTCTGCAGTTCAGATGGGCCTTGAGCTCACTTTGCAGCTTAGGCTGGCCTTCAAGTGGCAGTGATCCTCCTGCCTCAGCCTCCTGAGCATTGGGATTATAGGCATGCACCACCAGCCCAGCTTTTTTTTTTTTTTTTTTTTGAGACAGGGTCAGCCTTGAATTCACTGTGTAGCCCAGGCTGGCCTCAAACTCATGGTGATGTTCCTACTCTATTCAGTAGAGTACTGGAATTACAGGTGTGTGTCACCACTGGACAGGTGTCTCATCTTTCCACTATGGTGACGAGGAATAGAAGAAAAATGAAAAAGAGGCCAGGCAAGGTGGCACATGCCTATAATCCCAGCACTCAGGAGGCTGAGACAGGAGAATCACCATGAGTTTCAAGCCAGCCTGAGCTGCATGGCCAGATACTGTCTCAAAAACACAAAGCAAAATGAAATAAAAAACAAAAGTGAAATGGGCAACAAAACAGAACCAGCCCTCTGTGATGGCAGGAAAGGCCACAGGATTAGGAAGTAAATCAGCAAGATAATCTGAGCCCATGGCATTCTCCATGTGGAATTGGAGGGTAACTCAGGACACTTCACAAAATCTCAGAGGACAAAGTCTGGTTTTCTCTGCCAAATCCCTAATCCCATACAAATGTTGCTGGAATATTAAATGTGCAACACTTAAACCACAGCTCTGAGGGAAAATAAAATATCCTTTGATATGGCAGGAAGAAAACTTTTAAAAGTTCAAAACTTTTAAAAGCCACAATGACATAGGGATAGCGCCAAGTTAGAGGAGCTGGATGACACGGGCAGAGACGCAGAAGCAAACCACAGAGGAAGAGCACACCGAGAAAGACACATGCAGTGCAGAGGGCTCAGCTAGGAGATAACAGCAGGGAGACAGGAGAAATCCTTCACAACAGTCACAGGAGAGAACACCGTAAGCGTACAGATCCTGTCACATAAGGCCGCCATCGGGTTCTAAGCCCACAGAAGCCTGACATTCCTTCCCTCCATTAAGTGTTCTCTTTAAAGAAAGGCAGATAGAAATGAAGAACTGGGGGCCAGGGAGATGGCTCAGTAGAATAAGCACTTGCCTGGCAAGCGCAAGGGTCTGAGTTCAATCCCTGGTTCTGCCAATAAAAAAAAAAAAAGAAAGAAAGAAAGAAAGAAAGAAAGAAAGAAAGAAAGAAAGAAAGAAAGAAAGAAAGAGAAATGAAGAACTTGTTAGGTGGTATAACATTATTAATACCACTAAAGGGGCCAGCAAGATAGCTCAGCAGACTAAGCACTTGCTTAGGCAAGCACAGGGACCAGGGTTCCATCCCCAGTCCTGTGTAGACCGGCCTCATCCCTGGGGTGCACTGAGCCAGTGAACAAGTCCAGGCATGGTGGCACATGCCTGCAATCCCAGTGCTGGGGAGGCTGAAAACAGGAGGAGCACTAGGAGTCCGATCTGCGTGGTAAGACCCTGGACTAAATATATAAAATGAAAATAATAATAATATCACTAAAAAATAATAATGATAGCATAGCCAGGCATGCTGACACTTGGGAGACTGAGGCAGGAGAACTGTTGCAAGTTTGAGGCCAGCCTGGGCTACACAGTTTGTTCAGGGACTGAACTGCATAGTAAGACCCTGTCTCAAAAAAACAAAACAAACAACAATTTAAAAAAAAACCACAAACCTTTATGTAGAGTTTGGAAGCCACAAAGGTAGTAGTGAGAGAAATAATGGGTCCATTTGGAGAGATGGACGAGGACAGCCTAGGAGGGAAGGCACTGAATGCCAGGCTAAGAAAATGCTAGTCTAGGTTGGTGAGAAAAAGCCAGCAAGATGGGAGAGAAGACTCCTTCTCTGCATGTTGTTGTTGTTTGAGACAGGGTTTCACTATGTATACTGTCCAGGCTGACCCCAAATTTGCAGTGAGCCTCCTGCCTCAGCCTCCTAGAGTGCTGGGGTTACAGGTGTGTGCCAACCCACCCAGCTTGCACCTACAATTTCTTGGACCGTCTCTTCCTGCAAGGGTTTATTTCACATCTTTACTCCTTCACACCATCTACAAAAACCTGTAGAAGTCCCTGAGTAACCAGAGAAGAGAGACATTAAAGAGAAGTGTGGGGCTGGCGAGATGGCTCAGTGGTCTAAAGCACCTACTTGGAACAAGCGTGGCAAAGCACAGGGACTTCGGTTTGATCCCCAGCACCACATGCCAGCCAGCCCCGCCCCCTGGTGGGCTGAGCTGGCCACACACACACACACACACACACACACACACACAC